GTAGCCTAATTAGTTACGTAATCAGTTGTTTGAAAAATATATATTATTATAACATTAACATATGAAGAGTGGTAGAAATTGTATAGTTAAACAAGCATGAAGGGTAAAAAATACTTTCCGGCTGTAACTCCCTATGCTACCACCAGAGGGAGGAGTTTAATATGTTTTGCTTTTTCCCCCAAATTCACAAATCAGCTTCAAACAGACCAATTGTCAAAATTAATTTAAGAGCCAGAACTTTGGTTTCAAGGTAGAAAATTGCTCAGTGTGATGTCATAGTGGTACAAAAACTGTGACAGGAGCTTTAAGACAGAGGGGGCAGAGTTTGTGCCAACTCCAGGTTTGTCTTTAGTGAGGGAACAGTGTTGTAACATGGTTCTGTAATAAATAGAATAGTGTAGGACTATGAAAAAGTCTTACAAAGTTCTGGGATTGGCAATGTAACTGACCCAAAAATGGAGAGGGACTAAAGTCGGCTAACTCAGTCCATACTGTACCCTAAATTTGGTCGAAAACCAAAAAACACAAATCTGAGCCATCAACCAATATAAATGTCTAAAACCTGACCAATCTACTTTTTCGATAGTGGAACTTTAATTAACATTATTGACATTAGAATAAATCATTCAAATCATCAATTCAGATGCAATGTTTAGACTGTTCGAGAGATTAGACCAGTAACTTGCACGGGTGGCTTGTTTCGAAGGAGATTTTAAACAATAAAAAGAATAACACAGCTGACAAAGCAATAGCAAAAACATGGAGAGGATGATAATATAAAGTAGAATACGGCTACATGATAATATTGAGTCTTAACTAATGAAAATATAGAATAAGATTACGTTTGAAAGTAATCTACATTTAAAAAGGACCCAAGGAAGGAGAGCTAGTGTTCAGGTCCAGCTACAAAGAGAAACTTTTTAGACTATAACACTGCTATTCTGATTAATACCACCGTAGCCATTCCAAGATAGACCTGTTTAAAACGTGTTAGGCAGTTACTTCCTCTTACCGGGCTTATATCGGATATCACTAATTCGCCCCAGTGTAATGCCTGCAAAAATGGATGAAGAGGCTAGAGAATCTTGTTAAGTGTGAAAATAGCACAGAGCCGCATTAAAAGCTCCACCAGTTTACACTACCTGGTAATTATGGCTGAATGCAAAAATCACAGCTATGCGTCGAATGCGGACGCTTGCTGGGCTCTCAGCTATGGTATCCCGCTTAAAGTCAACATCACAGCAAAATGATATATGACGAGAAGAGGTTGATTAATAAGAAGAGATACAAATTGCCATCTTTCACTGAAGCCAAATCGGCGGTGCAATCCACCCCCGAGCGAGCGGGTATTCGCAAAAACCCTGTCATAATATACTTTGCCTTCATAGTATTTACATTGACCAGACTAAATATGTTCTCGAACATTTCAAATCCTTGTCTAAACTTTTCTGTCTATTGTCCGCGAATCGGCACATTAAACAAGATTCGGTCGACTGGACATGACAACATCGGACACCACAAAACAAACATCTTACAAGCTCTACAATGAGTGGGAATTCCCGGCAATTTCACAATCCGCAAACCCAAAGGGGTAAACATATTCTAACTTTAGAAGGTGATGCCTTAAATTGTATTTCAAAAGGATAACTTTTCTTAAAGAAAGCATATTTTTTTGGCTCAAGGGGCCTCATGGATTTGAAGTAACTATTACCATTTTCATCAATTGAAAATCGACCAATTGACTCATGGGCGGGTTAATCTCTTTTCTCAGTTTGAAAAGTAACTGACGTTCACTTTAAGTTAATAAATAAAACAAAACACATTCCAGCAGAACATAAAGACCGCTTTTTGCAAATGCAGTCGTTCCCATGACAGTCACGTTTACTTGAATTACGACTGGAATTAAAGCTACATTAAGTCTGAGTTTTTTGTGTTGGTACAAATTAATCTATTTCTGATTAAAGACTGATTGCGTTAACAAGTGATTACCCGTAGGAATTGTACGAACAGCAGCCTTAATAAGTGCTAATAGCCTATACACATGCGTACATTGTTTGGTCGCTCCATCAATACGACTCTACAGGGATTAGGTAACATATGCCTCAAAGGTACAATTAAACGCAGCTAAATAGCCGTTCCTCTGAGCGCCTCTTCACTGCGCACAGTAGCAGCCACTGAACGGCTCGGATTTTTCCCCCTGGCTTTTTCAAATTACCTATTGATGAGTGGGCTTCAAGTCTCCACCAAACCAAAAAGGAGGGAGTATGTCTGGTTCACTTTTAAGATGTCTCCGAGAAGCTGGGCTTGTGGTTAGATCTAAAGCAACACTTATGCAAGAGTATTTTCAGATAGAGTTTCAAATCATCAGGCGTTTTCTTCTCGGGGTGGAAGTTTTCCGCTCTTTTGGATATTTACCCACAATTGTTTTGATTAGTATGATTTGAAACGTCTAAGCCTTTTTTTTTTTTTTTTTTTACAATAATTGTTGCCATAACTTAATTGTCTTTTATGTAATTAGGTTTTGGTAATAGGGAAAAAATAACGGTCCCTGGAGAGGTTTGAGGGTGCCACACATGTTGAAAATTACGTTGCCCTCCTCATGTGCCAGTGCGAGGAGTTATAAAAAATGTATTTCGAGCAATTAAATGGAAATTGCTTGATCCAAACGCCAAGATAAATTTTAATGAGACCACTTTTTTTCATTGGAATATATACAGCCACAGTTTAACGTCACTGCAATCTATCACGGAGACTGTAGTCTTAAATTAAAAATGTCCTAAACATGCATTGAGAAAAGGGGATGGGGTAATGTGGTTTTTGAACTAACTAAACAATATTTTGTGTTCCCGGCAAAGTGGCTGACACTGGACGAATGGATCCAGAAGAAACACAGAAAAACTTCATAAAAAGTCTATATTTGAAAGTATAGCTCATGCCATATTTTTGCCAACTGAACGGATTTAATTAAAAAAGCACACAAGGGAATTCACTTATGTAGCCTCAAAACAAAAGACAATGCAAACTCTCGCTTGCATTTTATCAAGCCCCAATCAAAGTCGGAAAATCACTTTATTGACGGCGCCAGCTTGGATGCGGAATATAACATTTATATATTTCAGTTTATGCAGTAAAAATAACACTGCGTTCTGGTGGTCTCTGGGAGCTGAGACTTTTTGTGGTTGTACCGACAGATTTACAAGCCAGATGTCCATAAACGGTAACTTCAATGAGCTGCGACAGGGCTGTGTATTAATTTGATAATCGATAGAAAATAGCCCCACCTGAATTGACTTTATCCTGTCCCCCGCTTGCCCCACCTGAATTGACTTCATCCTGTCCTGTTCCACGCTGCTCTATTGTGGCGTGCTTTTCATTTCCTCCGGCGGAGCTCCGTGGACGTATACGGAGAGGTCGTGGGGTTAACATGGTAATAGGTGGCGGTGATTGGTAGAAGACTTGACTCTCTCTGGGCTTTCACAACATATTAGAGCCATCCTGCTTCTGAAGGAGCCCACTGGAACAGCTGGCTCTGACCGCGGAGCCGCTCTCACACAAAAAGTCAGATGCATCCAAAAAAACATCTTTAAAATGTTTGAATTGGACAGAAATGCGGGAAGCGACTGACCCAAAAAGACCAAGCGAAGGAGGGCGAATCAAATATCTAATGATCACTGCAGAAATACAACATTAGTTATGACATGTGGATAGAATGTTTAGTCTTGTTTTGAGCAGGAAATATTCTTTATGCCTAAATTGAGAACTCAACGGCACACGATGTGGTTTGACATAAGAAAATGCTGTATGGAAATTACTACTACTAATCTTTAATGAGAAAAATAATGGCATCACAACATAACAGAGGGGGGGGAATCAACACAAATCAAAACAAAATATTAGTTGCTGCTTTTGTGCTTCATGTATATACAGCATTTAAATATAAAAAGGTTGAATTCTAACACTAGTTTCAAAGTTTCATTACAAACTCTACACAGGCCAGAACTCAGAGCCTGCTCCATCGGTTCATGGGTCACTGAAAATCATCAATGTGACCGTGCTTCTGTTTGTATGTAGTTTGGCTTTGTTTACTGAAAGTCCCTGACAAACAACAGGCAAATTTAGAAAGTAAACACGGTTGAAAAGTGTAATTGTGCGCGCTCTGGAAATATAAATATTTTTTATGAGAGGCAGATATATTCCACCAGGGTTTTATTAAGCGTAGCTGAACTTTGCATGAGCCTTTTAAACAGTGGCTCTAACTTTTAAAAGGCAGGTCTTAAAATTGGATTTGTAGAAAGGTGATCCAGCTTTGATTTTTATCTGAATTACACACAGTCTATGAAAACAACCAATCTTCTCTTGGTAGACCTGCTCTATCTGGTATCAAATGTGATATATAAAAAAAAAATACATTTTCAACTGGGCAAAGACTGAAAAAGACAAATCAAACGTACTGATAACTCTCCATAGAGACCCCCAGACCTGACTCTTGGGACCAAACAGTCTGCTAATTCCACATCTTGTTCCAATGCACCACTGTAAACTCCCCATGTGCAGCCTCTGTTTACTTTTGTCAAAAATATCACCCGGTGCCTTTGTTTTTGGTTCCGCGAAAGACGGCACTGCTCTGTAAATCTAAGGGTATGTTGCACAAACATGTCATCTCCGAGCTTCAGAAATATTTATAAACATCACATTGAGTAAATACTGGAATCTCTAAATGCAGTGAAGTTGTTTTTTCTCCGTTCTCGTATCTGTCAACCGCACATGCCTTGATGATTGCTGGGTCTTGATTCCACCACAAAAGTTTGGATGTTGATAGCTGCGCCCTCAGTGACCTTTGAGACCATTGCGTTGCGCCTTCTCCACTTGATCTAAATCTTTCAGTCAAATCGAAAATTCAGACTCTTGTGTGGATTTGTCCATCATCCAACTCCCATCACCTCCCCAGTGGCCCGAACCCCCAGCCCCATCACACAAGCATCCAGCGAAGACGTACTTACCCCAAAAGAAGTTCTGCTGACATGGTGTCACTGTGCTGAAGAGGCTGTTGGATGCCATAGCTGCCTCTGGTTGCTGTAAGCCCCACTTTTGTTCTTCTGTGGTTTCCGTGACCCTTGACACGTCCTAAACCAAGAGCATGGAGCATGTCATGAAGGCATTGGGAAAAATATGGAAAAGCCATCCACAAGACATGCTATTTTACGTATCAACGATTTAGATGACCACAAGTAACGACCAGGTCTGGTTTTATAGTGATGAGAAGGAAAAAACAGCAGAGGCAAATATCGCCTTTGCGGATACATCAGATGGTGTCGGACTTGCTTGCTTGGCGAGTGTGGTCGGAACGTACTTACTCGCTTAGCGCCGTCCTTGTGACTGGAGCTGGCCCGCGACGATTAACCATTTACACTCCGGGTCGCCCTCAAACACCAACCCCGAGCCGCACGTCTGTGGTTCTGTGGTTGTTTGGGAGGCGAGCAGAGCCCTCACACAACCCAAAAGGCACCAGCTTTAAAACTCGTCTCTTTCCTGCCTTCCATGCGCTGTCACTGGAGAGCGCGGGTCACATGGGCGCGTGACGTCATCACGGTGCAGCAGCCCCAAGTGGGACTGCCTACTGTTGTGGCTTTCTTCCCTCTCCTCTTCTCGCTCCTGCTACTTTTTACACTCCTCCGACTTGTGGAGCGTGCGGAGCTGCGCGTGGTTTGCCGGTGCTTCCAAGTTGTCTCTGGGGGATAGCGAGAGTCTGATCTGACGCTCCCATGAGCCTGTGTGTTTGAGTGGGGGCAGCTTGTTCAAACGCCCTGAACATATGGGCAACAGAGCTGACACCCTTTCATCCCCTCCCTTTCTGTCTGCACCTCTCAGTCTCAGTCTCAGTATAGCGCTGGGCTTGGTGCGCTCCGTCCAGAGGCTGCTGCTGCTGTCTGCCTGTGCGCGCCTCAGAGCTGCGGGTTTGAGTGAGGCGCGAGGGTTGGCTGCGTCTCTGTTGGGTGTGTTTAGGCTCAAAGAATAGGTCTGTGAAGGAGAAGAGGAGAGGGCAGGTTATTGTGAAAGTTGGCCAAAAGAGTTGGTGTCAAATTGGTATATGAATTAGACCTGCCACTTTACGTGCTGAGCTGCTACAGACTGTCAGTGTTTGTCACTTCCATAAAAATGTGTGCCGTGAGTAATGCTCTTTAAAACCGCCTCATAAAGATGTGCTATCTATAGAATTTCATTGTGTGCAAGCTGATTACATGAGATTTGCCAGAACAAGAACAAAGGGGAAAAAAGTCACACAAATATTTTGGAATGTCTTCAGTCAGTTTTAGCAAGTTTCTGAGACTATTCTAAAAAGACAAAGTAATTAATTAGAAAGAAGATGCTCTTTTGCCAACTATTGCACTTTATAGTTTAACCACATACTATAATTACAATCACAGCCTATACAGTATTCTAGAGAACTGTAGACTAATTGATCCAAAGTCAACTGTATCTATCAATGATGCTATTTTCATATATAAAGAATAAACTCATTTAGACAGACAGGTATCTAATTTTTAAATTTCACAATGGCTATAGTCATGGCATCTAAATAATTAGTTTGACGAAAGCATTGTCCAGAAACAAGGAAACAATGCTTGTCAATCTGCAGGTTAGGCAAGTCTTTTGTGTGCAAATGTGAACTCCCGCTTTGCCACTTCTCATCTTGCGCTGTCATAAGCCATCATTGTGACACTCCCCTAATAGATGTGTGCCCGGACGGCTCTTGTTTTGATTGGCTCTCACTGCAGCGTCAGTCCGAGGGTGATTCCTGTAAGCGGCAGTAAATCTAACCACCTGTCTTCCTTCTGAAAGAGTTGCCTTTCTCACAGTAGTGTTAGGACTTGGAAACGCACCATCGGAGCACTTTGTACAAGGGGCTATCTGTGCAGAAAAGCAGAGGGATTCATTTGATCAGAGGCCTCAATTATCAGGAAAACAGAACGTCAACTCAAACTCTAGTCAACAGTGTAATATTTGTATGTAAAAAGTGTGGAGATTGTAGTTCAGAATTTTCTTCAGTATGTTCTGAAATGAAGTAGTTCAGCAGGTTCCAGACTTCTCTTAAAAGTCAATGGCCAAATCAACAAACCCCAAGAGGCGCTAACAGGGCTGTAAATATATTTAAATTGCCATTTAGGTGTACTTGATGTGAGCCCTACCATCTCCATGGAGATTGTATTGCTTTCTCTGGACAATCTGCAGATGAAGCATGTATTTTTGTGTGCAAATGTGAACTCTGCTTTGTCACTTCTCGTCTCAAGAATCACAAGTGTCACAATGAGCAATCATTGAGGCACTCAAGTGAATACTCTCAAGGGGCCTCTTCTCTTTATGAACAACGTGCTTAGGGCCTTGGTCATTTCACCGCAGATATGAATACATCATATGGTGTCACTTGATTAATTGAAGCCAATACTTTGGAAAGTTCGAAAACAATTACAACATGCAACAAGAGCCCCCTTGAGATTTAAGAAGTAACCAGAGTCACAAAGGGCTTTACAATTGTTGTGGGCATTTATCTCTCACTCCACACAGCGATGGTAGCGAGTTCCATAGCACCCGGGAGGAAACCTACGGGAGAACATGCAAACTCCATGTCCCGTTCCGACCGGGATTCGAACCCAGGACCTTCTTGCTGAGACAGTGTTCTTCACTGAATTTGCGTCAGTTTAAAAACTTGTCAACCAGAAACCACAAAGGGCTAATTTAATATTCTAGTTTTGAATGTTAACTGAATTGCAAATAATAACAAGGCTTTCAAATCTAAAGAAAAAAAGTGCTTTGTTCTGATACTAATTTATAATTTATGATGCACAGATCAACTGCCAACAAAGCGGCAGAATATAGTAGAAAGAAGCCGACCTGTCCGACACCACTAAGTGCAACGACTCAGAACCAACACTGACTGTGAAACTACTTTAACACTGTTAAAAGTCTATTAAAAAAATATAAAGTATGACTGCTTCAACTATATTGTAATGCACTACTCATGCATTGACTTCAGTAAGCAGCCATCTGACCACTCCGTTCGCACCTTTGCCACAGGTGTTTGTTTCGGCGAATGAAATACACAGACTTGCTTCTGGCTCACCACATCAGGAATGAGAGGAATGAAGCCTTATGTCCCAAAGTGTATATCCAAAGTATCTCTGTCATCTCCACTTTAGCCGGTGGGCAAACATGGCTGTTGAAATGCTGAAAAGAGTGTGAGCCTCCATATGGATTTTATGATTTTTATAGGCATGCCAGATAGTAACTTTTGCTGCGCTACATGTGTTTTGAGATAAAAGTGATAGTTCGACAAAATGAAAATATCTTTACTGACCTTAAAGTTCTTAAATGAATAGCAGATATCGGGGCAATTTCTTGTTTGATATAAGAGATGCAATGTGTGCTTTTTGGCAGTGTTATATAAAACAAAAGTGAAAAATATAAAACACATTAAAGTATCATCTGAGATATCTAGTAAGCGATGTGAAATATGTGCTTTTCAAGGGCTGTATGAAATGTACAGATATCAGTGTGTATATACAATAGCCTTGGTCTTTTCACCTGCATGATTCAAAACAAACTCACATGTCATATAACATTTGATTAATGCTAATGGTGAACCAAAGAACAATATTTTTTTTTTGTGGAAATGCAAGCTCACAAAAGAAAAATACCATAAGGATAGAGGAATGAACTAACATTTACATAAGAATAGAATGGAGCTTTGTCTTCTCCGAAATAAAAACCGCCTCACAAAGCGCACAAGTATAGGCTACACCTCTCTCTCAAACAAAGAAGCCAAGAATTTACAATTAGACTCCTTTTTTTAAGTAAAAATAGTTTCAAATGTGTTATCCCAATGCACTCTCAAAACCCCAATGAGTAATTAATAAGAAAAATACACAAATATATAGTATTTTTCTCCCTTGTATTGTTTTTATGGCATTGAAACAAATACATTTAAGTTTTTCTGATCTTATACTGGGCCTGAAGGAGTGTCTTCTTCTTTTGGCTCGACTCTTCCACAGTTTGGCATTGCGTATTTGTGCGTCTGTTTAGTTCTAATAATTTGATATAAAAAAAAAAATCATTCCCCAACATGTACATTTTGTATTTGTGGTCATTTCCCATTCCAAAAAAGTTGCGTACCATAGCATTAAATCACAGACAGATGCTTCATTCAAAAAGCCGAAGAATCTATTTCAATCCGGCTACGATAAGAAAATATCACCATGAAAATGCCAGTAGACAAGTGTATTTCCACAAATCTACGGCGCTGACTTATTTCTGTGCAGCGAAACATTTTCCTTGGCTCCCTGCTTTGTAAATATTTGCTGCCTAAAACAAGAACATGCCTTCTCGCGTCGCGGAGCATGTTACAGAATCCTTAGGGAGGCTCTGTTGAAACGCAGCTATAAACAGCCTCAAACTCAAATGGAGATGTATTTTAATATCATCCCACAAGGAGGTCCTTTTCATTCATATGTTTAATTGACAAGACTTTTTTTTCTTTCTTTCTTGGCAATAAAACTTCTACACAGCCACAACTCCAATTAACAAAGTCGTTCAGTAGTAATATTTATGCTCCTTCATAAACATTTAAGGTTATTCTACGTCTGCTGTCAAAAGCGTTCAACTACGGGATATAGTGCAGGCCGCTCAGGGTTCTGCCGAGCCGTAGTATACGTGACGGGAATATCGTTTGCAAGTTGTGATTGAATCTTAAACAAAGAATGAAAAATAAACATGCCGCACTTGACGGGCTGCTTGGGTGGCATTGCATGTGATAAATAATCTTGATAGCCAAATGTGTCTTTTTAAAAAATCCTTCGAGAGGGGAATGTAAAGTCGATGTCTTTCCCAGGTCGCTGTGAAATCCAACTTTGCCAAAACAGTGCACGCTCAGCTTTGGCTTATACTGTAGGTCATCAGTTCCCTCACCTTTCTAAAAAAAAAACAAAAAAAAACACAGCCTTTATACACTGAATAAATGTTCGACCACAACGGCAGGTCGCGGCTGGAGGTAAGTCGAAAGAATTTACTCTGCCAAGCTCAAGGTTTACTGCAGAAAGTATGATTTTAAAATACAATGATAAAGCTCCAATTCAACAACATTATGAATGAAAAGGAGCAGAAATAAATTATGATAACTGGTCTCTCCAACACAAAATATGAGGTTTATTTGTAGCAGCTACTATCCATGCACTTTACATGACACACATTCACATTACATTTTTGACCATGTATAGAATTAACACAACACAAAATATAGTCTCTCATTGCATATCTGTGCAACAAGTGATATTTGAAGTTTTGATGTTTTAATGTGTCTGGATTGATTTATTAAAGGTGTACGTTTTTATTGCTGATACTGAACCGGGTTTTTTGTTGAGCCTGTTTTTTTATTTTTATTTTCAAACCTGCAGAATACAATGTCCAATAACTTCACATTAATACAGGGTTGAGTTTATAGTTTATCGCTATACCAGTGTTGCATTTGGTTGGAAAAGAATGGTCTTCTGCTATGTGAGAAACTAGTTGGGTTAATAATCAATGTTGCAAATATTAAATTCAGAAGTTGGCACAATATTTGCATTAATTACTTTGTTTCAGACCAATATTAAGATTCAAAATGTTCAGAATAATTAAATTAAACTAAATTAAACTAAGAGAATAATCAATTTCACTGCTGAAACCTTGCCCACGTAGATAGCGCTGTCAAAAGATAGTTTTTAGATTGATATATACTTACTCATTTGTTGGCAAGAAATATTTTAGGACCCTTAATTTGAAGAAAGAATTAATTCATTATTAATATATTTTTCAAATCACTACAAAAAGATGTGATTTGCTGCATATTACAAGAATTAGAAGAAAAGATGCTCATTTCATATATTAAGACTTTGTTTAAGGACTTGTTACATATAAATATTGAATATTTATAATCGCGGAGTCAACATTAAACATTCATTCATTCAAGTTTATGGCGTTGTGCGATCTCGCTGAAAAATTACCAAGTGAAAGTGTTTGCACTGGAGAGCTTTGTGCTTGTATAAATAAGCAAGCGAATAATAGGAATCATATGGTCGCGCAAACATTTCTGACCAGCGCTACTCTGCTGAAGTTGTTTAAAGTCAATGTTGATAGCATAACAATTAGATAATGCAAATACCACATTGGACACATTTTATTATTTTTATTTTCCATTCAGCTTTTAATTTTATGTTAATTTATCTATGTGCATCTCTTTGGAAACTGTTTATATTTACACAACGTGCTAAAGTGGAATGGATTTAACATCTCTCGATTTTCTTATATTTTTAGAAACGCATTCATCTTCAAAGATTTATGTTTTTGTTTTTAACCACTACCAGTCCTTTTTAAATATCTAATGGATCCAACAGACTCCAATGTATGTATGTTTTACAGCATCTCAAAGGGCATGATCCTAATTTTGCAACACAGACAAATTTGTAATATATGTTTGGGGAAGTAAAAAGTGCCTTTATGTGAAGTTAATAACGTGTGGAATATAATATTTCATTCAGTGCCGCCTCTCCACTGGTGGCCGTGCGCTGGGGCTCTTGTGAGGAGCCTTGGCGATGCTCTGAGCTCTGCCCAGAGGAGTGTGGTCAAAAGAGCCCACCCTGCCAGACACTTTCTCCCGGCTCTCACCACGGCGGACCACACACTTTCAAACGGACTCGCGTTGTTATCTCAAGCTCTCCTAGAAACATAATAGTCGTATCACGTGAAGTTTTAAAATTACACATGCTATTAGAGACGCCTGACGTCTTCCGTGCCTCACTGCTAAAGTCTTGGGATGTTTGCATAAAAATCCTATTTGAAGCAACATTTTTCAAGA